TGAGTTACTGATCTCATTAAAAACAAGCTTACAACAACATTTTGCAAGTTTCAGTTGAGTTCAACTGGCAAAACCTTTGGGTGATGATACTAGAGGTTTAGGGTTCAAATCCCGCAAGCATTACCGAGTTACTAATCTCATTAAAGCTCAACTAGAAAAACCTTTGGGGGATGATCACCCGAGGTTTGGAGTTCAAATCCCGCTAGCATTACCGAGTTACTGATTTAATTAAAAACTTGATTAACACAACTTTTTTGCAAGTATCAGTTGAGCTCAACTGGTAAAACCTTGGGTGATGATACCAGAGGTCTGGGTTTCAAATCCCGCAAGCATTACCGAGTTACTGATCTCATTAAAAACATGCTTACCACAATTTTTTTGCAAGTGTCACTTGAGCTCAACTGGTAAAACCTCGGGTGATGATACCATAGGTTTTGGGTTTAAATCCTGCTTGATTTATCGAGTTACTAATCTCATTAAAAACAAGCTTACAACAATATTTTGAAGTTTTTAGTTGAGTTCAACTGGTAAAACCTTTGGGTGATGAAACCTGAAGTTTAGGGTTCAAATCCCTCAATCATTACCGAGTTACTGATCTCACTAAAAACAAGCTTACCACAACATTTTGCAAGTTTCAATTGAGTTCAACTGGCAAAACCTTTGGGTGATGATACCAGAGGTTTAGGGTTCAAATCCTGCAAGCATTATTTAGTTACTGATCTAATTAAAAACAAGCTTACCACAACATTTTTCAAGTTTCATTAGAGTTCAACTGGCAAAACCTTTGGGTAATGATACCAGAGGTTTGGGGTTCTAATCCCGCCAAAATTACCGAGTTACTGATCTCATTAAAAACAAGCTTACAACAACATTTTGTAAGTTTCAGTTGAGTTCAACTGGCAAAACCTTTGGGTGATGATACTAGAGGTTTAGGGTTAACATCCCGCAAGCATTACCGAGTTACTGATCTAATTAAAAAGAAGCTTACCACAACATTTTGCAAGTTTCATTAGAGTTCAACTGGCAAAACCTTAGGGTGATGATACCAAAGGTTTAGGGTTCAAATCCCGCAAGCATTATCGAGTTACTAATCTCATGAAAAACAACCTTACAACAATATTTTGCAAGTTTGAGTTGAGTTCAACGGGTAAAACCTTTGGGTGATGAAACCTGAGGTTTTTGGTTCAAATCCCGCACGCATTACCGAGTTACTAATCTCATTAAAAACAACCTTACCATAATATTTTGCAAGTTTCGCTTGAATTCAACTGGTAAAACCTTTGGGTGATGAAACCAGAGGTTTAGGGTTTAAATCCCGCAAGCATTACCGAGATACTGATCTCATTAAAAACAAGCTTACCTCAACATTTTACAAGTTTCAATTGAGTTCAACTGGCAAAACCTTTGGGTGATGATACCAGAGGTTTAGGGTTCAAATCCTGCAAGCATTATTGAGTTACTGATCTAATTAAAAACAAGCTTACCACAACATTTTTTAAGTTTCAGTTAAGTTCAACAAGCAAAACCTTTGGGTGATGATACCAGAGGTTTAGGGTTCAAATCCCACAAGCATTACCGAGTTACTGATCTCATTAAAAACAAGCTTACCCCAACATTTTGCAAGTTTCAGTTGAGTTCAACAGGCAAAACCTTTCTGTGATGATACCAGAGGTTTAGGGTTCAAATCCCGCAAGCATTACCAAGTTACTGATCTCATGAAAAACAACCTTACAACAATATTTTGCAAGTTTCAGTTGAGTTCAACTGGTAAAACCTTTGGGTGATGAAACCTGAGGTTTTGGGTTCAAATCCCGCAAGCATTACCGAGTTACTGATCTCATTAAAAACAACCTTACCACAATATTTTGCAAGTTTCTCTTGAGTTCAATTGGTAAAACCTTTGGGTGATGAAACCAGAGGTTTAGGGTTTAAATCCCGCAAGCATTTCCGAGTTACTGATCTCATTAAATACAAGATTACCACAACATTTTGCAAGTTTCAATTGAGTTCAACTGGCAAAACCTTTGGGTGATGATACCAGAGGTTTAGGGTTCAAATCCTGCAAGCATTATTGAGTTACTGATCTAATTAAAAACATGCATACCACAACATTTTTTAAGTTTCAATAGAGTTCAACTGGTAAAACCTTTGGGTGATGATACCAGAGGTTTATGGTTCAAATCCCGCAAGCATTATCGAGTTACTGATCTCATTAAAAACAAACTTAAAAAAACATTTTGCAAGTGTCATTAAGCTCAACTGGTAAAACCTTTGGGTAATGATCACCCGACGTTTGGAGTTCAAATCTGGTACGCATTACTGAGTTACTGATCTAATTAAAAATAGGCATACAATAATTTTTTTGCAAGTGTTAGTTGAGCTCAACTAGTAAAACCTTAGGTAATGATACTAGATGTTTATAGTTAAAATCCCGCAAGCATTACCAAGTTACTGATCTCATTAAAAACAAGCTTATAACAACCTTTTGCAAGTGTCATTAAAGCTCAACTAGTAAAACCTTTGGGTGATGATCTCCAGAGGTTTAGAGTTCAAATCCTGCTCGCATTACCGAGTTACTGATCTAACTAAAAATAGGCATACAAAATTTTTTTTTCAAGTGTCAGTTGAGCTCAATTAGTAAAACCATTGGTGATGATACCAGAGGTTTGGGGTTCAAATCCCGCAAACATTACCGAGTTATTGATCTCATTAAAAACAAGCTTACCACAACATTTTGCAAGTTTCAATTGAGTTCAACAGGAAAAACCTTTGGGTGATGATACCAGAGGTTTATGGTTCAAATCCCACAAGCATTACCGAGTTACTGATCTCATTAAAAACTGGCTTACCACAATTTTTTTGCAAGTTTCATTTGAGCTCAACAGGTAAAACCTTGGGTGATGATACCAGAGGTTTGGGGTTCAAATCCTGCCAGAAATTACCGAGTTACTGATCTCATTAAAAACTGGCTTACCACAATTT